ATCTAGAGAATTTGATTTGTATTTTAGAACATGGAGGGCCGGAAGCTATAAAAGAGCAGGATAGGTTCTCCCATTGTGAGGCAGAGACTCCCTAAAAGTTTAGTGGGAGCTCCTGTGTGAGGGAGGCTTTGCAGGAGGTGAATCTGGACTTGAGCTTTGAGTCTGATTTTTCATTCACCTAGCAGGATCTTTCCAAGTCTGCATCTTCTAGGAAATAAAAACAGTCTCATCATGTGAGCAATACCAGGAAGAATTCATCAGTGCAGCTGACTGGTGGGGAGAAGAAATCTCACAAAATTCTCGATTCCATGCCTCTTAAAGACAGCCCTTTGTGGTAGGAGGGGGAAAAAAAAGAGAAAAGGCTAGAAAAGAGAGAATCTCAGTGGCAAGTTTTAAATCATTAAATCGGCTTTGAAGACATGCATTACAGTTTTCAAGGCTCAAATGTAAAAATAAAGCATCGGACTATTAAACTCAACCCATTACAAGGCGATCCATACTCTCTGTATACATACCTAAACATTAGGTTAAGATTGATAAAAGCAACTTTGCTTATTACTAGACTGAGAAATTGCCCTTAACTCAGGGCAAGATGCCCTGTGATGCCAATGTCAATGCCAGATGAGTGATATCAGTACATCTGCCTTAGCAGATCATTTGGATGTCCAGATGAACAAGTAGGACCTAAAAAAATAACTCTGGTGGAGGGACCTTTCATACTTTCTCATCTTCATCTTGGTGAGGGGAAATGGGTAATTTGATAGAAGTTATGGTATTACATAAACCAGGATGCGAATGCTAATAGTTCTGTTCTTAGTTTGCTTGAATGTCATATCAAACAGTGTACCCAAAGGATTTTGAATTCCAGCCTGCTAACCACTGATAATGTGATTTTGTAGTATGTGCTCTACGGTTTTCATACATGTGTAGGCTGTATAATTTCATAATAATAATTATGATAAATGCCTTATTTATAACTCACCTAGACAACAAATTACGTTTTCCTTTTTCTCTTAGTCTATTTTTTTAATGAAAATGAAACCATAAAGTAGTTTGATTACACCATTTCTCTTTTTAATAAAGTTTCACAGATTATAAGATGGCTCTTTGCATTTTTTTCACTATTACCTAATCACTAGACTTAGGGCAGGGGGTTGGTTAAAGGAGAATTGTCTTTTAGATATTTAGCAACTATCCTAGTTATACCCGCTAAAGGAAATGAAACAAAATAACAATACGTCTCCCAAAGCATATGACTCTCCTCAAACATTATTTCCTCAAATGTACCATACTTCTTTCTCTGCCTCAGTCCTTTGAGAAGATCAATTACAATTAGATACATCTCCTGTTACAATGGAAGAAGTGTCCCTGCTCCTAGCAGAGCAGTCTCTTACTTGGCTCTGGACTAACCCTTCTTGCTCTCTCAAGGACTTCATTCCCTCAGTGTTCAGCTTTGTCTAGTGCGTGAAGTCATCAGCAGCACCCACCCTTAAAAAACAAACAGAGGGCTGTGGTCCTTAACTTTATAACCCTCTCTAACCCAGTTTCTCTGTTCCCTTCAGAGCAGAACTTTTTGCCTGTACCACCTCACCTCATGAATTCCTCACCCCATTCCAGTGACTTCCAGTCCAGTGTGCCTTGCTCCCACCTCCCAGTCTGCTGTTGTCAAAATCAACAACCATGATGCCATTTCCAGTGGCTTCTTCCCCATCTTGATCTCACTCAACCTATCCACAACAATTGACAGCTCCTTCCTTCAAAACACCTCGCAGTCCGTTAGCTCTTCAGCATGACCCCTTGCCAGCCTTCCTTCTTCGGTTTTCTTCCTTCTCAATCTCTTGCTAGTTCCTTCTCTCCCATCTAACTTAAGTGTTGGCATGCCTCAGAGCTTGGCACTGGGCCCTCTTCTCTCTTTTGCCCTCTGGGGTAGGCTGAATAATGTCCCCAAAGATTTTGAGTCCTTATCCCTGAACCTGTGTTACTTTATATGGCAAAAAGGACTTTGCAAGTATGATTAAGTGAAGGATCCTGAGACGGACTACTCAGGTTGTCCATAAATAAAAGTCCCAGTGCCCTTCTAAAAGAGAGGCAGAGGGAGGTTTGACTACAGAAAAAGGCCATGTGACAACTGAAGTAGGACACTATGCCATGGCTTTGGAGATGGGGGAAGGGGCCACAAGCCAGGGAATGCTGCTCTAAAACCTGGAAAAGGCAAGGGAACAGATTTTCCCCCAGAGCCTCCAGAGGGAGCTTGACCCTACGGGCATCTTGTATTCCATTGAACATGATTTTGGATTTAAGAGTTCCAGAACTGTTAGAGAATACACGGGAGCCATCAAGTTTGTGGTCATTTTTTTACAGCCCTCTTCATACCTTATTTCATCTATTTCACTTTTAATTATACCCAAACTCCTTACATTGGTCTCGGGCCCAGCCTGATTTGGCCCGTGCCCACCTCTCCGACTTCATCTCCAACTCTTCTCTTCTCTAGCTTTGATCAGTTCTTGTGTCCTGCTAGTTCTTTTCTGCCTCAGAACCTTTGCACATGCTGCTTTCTATGCTTGGAGTACTCTTCCTCTCCAGCACTCTCATCCCCCTTCCTACCTTTCCTAGCTCATCTGTGAGCTCCCCAGACTGCCCTCTGTTATTTCCTATCTTCACTGTTTTCCTTTGTAGCTCTTATCACAAGACATGACCATTTTATCCTTCTGTTCGTTTGATTTTCTTCTGCCTCTTTGTCTGCAATATAGGCTTCGTGGAAGCCTGACCTTTTTTTGTTCATCACTGCATCCCCAGCACAGACCACAGTGCAGATATATAATAGTTGCTCAGCAAATATTACTTGAATGAATGTATAAGCAGAATAGACAGTGTCGTGGGCTGGACTATTCTGACTTCGACCATTTCGGTTGCAAAAAGTCTCATATTCAAATGTCAAATGTCAAGGGTGTGAAACAAACAACAGATTCTGCGACAGTGGCTGTAAGGTCCACAGCTGCTTTGGCTTCCTTCTAATAAATGACACTGGGCAGGGAGGACATGGGAGGAGCATGTATTATTCAATCCCTAAATGCACTTTACAATTAGGAAAAAAAGGTCATCAAAAGTAAGGAGAGGTTGGGCACCTGGGTGGCTCAGATGGTTAAGCGTCTGCCTTCGGCTCAGGTTATGATTCCAGGGTCCTGGGATCGAGTCCCACATCGGGCTCCCTGCTCCTTGGGAGCCTGCTTCTCCCTCTGCCTCTCTCTCTTTCTCTGTCTCTCATAAATAAATAAATAAAATCTTTAAAAAATAAATAAATAAATAAATAAATAAAAAGTAAGGAGAGGCTAAGAAACTGTCACGGCTAAGAGGAGCTAAGGAGACATGATAACTAAACACAATGTGGCATCCTAGATGGGATCCTAGAACAGAAAACAAAAGGATACGACATAAACATTAAGGAGACATGAATAAGCTAGATTTTAATATTAATGAAATTATGTATTAATGTATTAATGTAATCTGATCAACCATCAGATTTTGTATATTTAGGAGAGAGGAGCAAGTGAATTTGGAAATTGGTTATGGCAGCTGGGAGAAACGGAAGCGTTAAAGATGGTGCTGGAGGCTTCTGGCTTGGGTGTATGAGTGGGTGGTGGTGCCTTCAGTCAGATAGGGAGGACTGGAGTCCAGCTGGAGAGGAAGATGACTGAAGGCCTGGCCATTATGAGTCCGAAGTCCTGTGAGCCATCCCAGTGCAGAGCTGTGTAAGCTGTCGGATGAGAGTGTTCAGGGATCAAGGTGGAGACAGGTCTGAGGGCCTCGAGGGCAGACGGAGGAGGCTATAGCCTGGGCCCGCTCAGGTACAAAGGGCAGAGAAGGCAGCACAGCCCAAGGAGCCCTCCAGCTTAAAGGTCCTGTCGGCCGCAAATGTTGCCGGCTGGAGCATCTCCTCCTGTTTCTCATGTTCCACTTCCTGTAAGTGGTTCAGAAGCAGCTGTCTGCAGCCCCCAATCCCACCCACCCGCGGACAGCCCGGGGCCGGCTCCCGCACCAAGCCTCGGCCGACTGGGAAGGCCAGAGGAAAAGTGCGGATCGGGCAGCGATAATTGAAGTGTGAGACTCTGGCGCACGCAGGGCTCCCCACAGGCCTCGCGCCTCCGCTCACGCAAGCTCCTGGAAGGGTCCACAGTCCCCTCTTCTACACCATTCGATTGGCTTTTGTGGCAGCCGTTGCCCTTTGAAGCGTTCGCAGCTTTTAAGCCGATTCCGCCCCATAGAACTGTTGGGAGTGGGGCGTAAAGGGGGACCCTCCTGTCTACACGGTGAGAGGTCGCTTTCAGAAATGATTTCAAAAAATCCCGGCCGAGGAACTGGGGAGGCTGAGGCCGAAGGGGGGCGCGAGTATTACCGAAGTACCGCTCGGTGGGAAGGTCCCCCTGCAGAGGTGGATCCCGGGGTGCCTGCACGCTGCGGTCACCCCGCCCGCGCCAGCGCGGTTTCCGGCAGCTCCACGCGCCCGGGTTCTCGCGCTCGCCCAAGGTTCCGGAAGTGCGCGGCCGGGCGTGCGGAGCGCGCGGGCGGGCCGGGGGGCGGCTTCGGGGCCCGGGGCGGGGCGAAAGGGGTCGCGGGAACGCCTGGTTTTAGCGCCTGCGGACGCGCGCGAGGCGGGGGAGCGCCGGGCGGCGCGCGCAGTCCGGGGACCTGTACGCGGCGAGCGCGCGGGGGCGGGCCTGCGCCCAGCCGGCGGCGGACGAGCGAGCGCGAGAGCTCCTGCGCCCGGGCGCACGGCGGGAGCGGGAGCGGCGGCGGCGCTGTGGCTCGCCAGGATCCGGGAGCCCCGACACACAAAGGCTGGTGGAATGCGTGAGCAACCCGGGAGCCGGGAAAGGGAAAGGGAAAACGAAAGCCGCGGCCACGGCAGGTGACGGCGAAGGCGCCGCGCAGTCCTCCCGACGCCGGCGGTACCCGGGCCTGCCCTCCTGGGCCTGTCGGGCCGAACCCGGCGCGCCGCAGCCATGGCTATCGCCCATCTGGCCACCGAGTACGTGTTCTCGGACTTCTTGCTGAAGGAGCCCTCGGAGCCCAAGTTCAAGGGGCTGCGGCTGGAGCTGGCGGTGGATAAGATGGTCACGTGCATCGCCGTGGGTCTGCCCCTGCTGCTCATCTCGCTGGCCTTCGCGCAGGAAATCTCGATCGGTAAGGCTCGGGCCGGAGGGGCGGGGTGGGGCCGGCCTGAGCCGGCGTTATCCGAGGTGTCCGGGTCTGGTGGGAAGTGATTTTACCGCGCGCCCCTGGAAGCCCACTCGGCTGCGATGGGCGTGAACATCGGGAAGAAAGGGAGCCCGGGTTTTATGGCCTGAAGTGTTCTTTGCCCACGTGGTTCATTTTATACGCCTGTGGATCCTGCCTGCATCCCTACTGCTCAGTTCTTCTGTCTGCTCCTCACGGATCCTGAGTGTGGCGTAGCCTTTGTGTCCGCCTCTTAGGACCGGCGCCCTTGCCATCAGATTTGTCGAAAACAGTGGTCTCCTATTCCTTTCCCCCCACCCCTACATTTGTGTAATTACTTACAGAGAAGTTCCTGAGTGGCTGAACGGGGGATTGAAGAAAAGTACTCTGTGAAATGTGTTCTCCCTTCATCACCTTACATTGAGTCGATGCTGACTGAGACTAGTTCTGCGGGGTTGTGAATGATGGGAAATGATTGCCCTTGGCGGGTATTAGAGGGATACCAGAATCCTCCACCCGGACAGTCTTGTTATGAATGTGGGATGAACAAGTCCCCTTCATGTAGACTATTGTTTACTCATAATAACACTTCCAAGGTGGAAAGTGTTTGGGGCAGGATCACGTGGCTAATAAGACTTTGGGCTTCCTCATCAGCTGTTCTGACTTACAGCACAGGAGAGGATGTTTATGAGTCAACAGGACAGCTAGAGACTGTTCACTAGGGGAGAAGAGAGGCCGGTGGGGCTGGACCTTGGGGAAAGCTTATATGAGAAATTGTGCTGGCCCTGAGCCCTGGAGCATGGGTGGGATTTGGATAAGCAGAGGTGAGACCTTTGCTAAGATTTTGAGATATCAGAGAATGTTACATGTTCCTGGAAGGAGAGAGATAGTGACTGTCCCCCACTGAGGCAGGAGAGTTAGTCACAGTTCTTGGGATATGAGCATGAATATGGGTCCAGTGCGTTAGAACAGAGGAGTACAGACTTGATGGTTTTAAAAGTGCAAAGTTATTGTTTGAGCAGAGGATGGACCATTACTTAATAAACCTGATGGTAGCATGGAGGGTCTAGGGTCAAGGAGGGGAATTGGAGCTAGGAAGGCCAGATGCCAGACGATGGGGCATTAACTGAGGTCTTGTGCATACGTGGTGGCCAAGATTTGAAGGGAAAGGATGGGAGAAGATGATTTCTAAGAGATCAAGGAACAATAAGCAGCACCTGGGTACCTAGTTTTTAATAGGTCATGAAGGGCAGATATTGACCAGAGTTGTTAGAAAGGCTGCAGACCTGAGTGACTGGAAAATGGTGGTGCACTTGGAGGGGAGAAGCAGAGGGAGGAGAGAGAATCTCAAGCAGACCCCCCGCTGAGCGCGGAGCCCAGTGTGGGGCCCGATCTCGACCCTGAGATCACCACCTGAGCCGAAATCAAGAGTCGGAGGCCTGAGCCACCCAAGTGCCCTGAGAATGGTGGTATTCTTGATGGGAACAGTGAAGTTGCAGGAGGCGTAGATTAAAAAAGGGTTATGGTGCGGGCGCCTGAGTGGCTCAGTCGGTTAAGCGACTGCCTTCGGCTCAGGTCATGATCCTGGAGTCCCGGGATCGAGTCCCGCATCGGGCTCCCTGCTCAGCAAGGAGCCTGCTTCTCCCTCTAACCCTCCCCCCTCTCATGTACTCTCTCACTCTCACTCTCTCAAAATAAATAAATCTTTAAAAAAAAAAAAGGGTTATGGTGAGCTTGATTTTGTGATCTACAGCACTAAGTTGTTCAACTTAGCAGGAAGTTGCCAAATTCATTGTGGAAAATAAGTGATCAGTTTTTTTTGTCTTTGGACAGGCAGAGTCATGGGGTTTCCTTCGGCCTTCCAGATGACCAGGAGTTGGGACTTCCAGTAGAAAGGAAAACCACCAAGTAGCTTGGGTCCTAGAGAGTTGATGCTCCCCCATCAGCAGATGTTCCTTGAGTACCAGCTGTGGGCTGGAGCCAGTGCTAGGCACCATGGCCCAGGAATAAATGAGGCATGGTCCCCATCATGGAGAAGCAGCAGTCTTGGGCATCTGATGCCAGGAGGAGGGAGTTGGTTACCCTCCGTGATCAAACTTAACATCTACCCCACATAGTAGAGGGATTCTGGAGGCAGAAGCACTCTTGACACATTCAAGTTGATGGGCTGCTGGAGAGGCATTTGGTTGGCATTGGGAATGGGTTTATCCAGCAGGAGTCTGAGCTTATGCTATGTGCAGAGAACACTGCTGTGCGTTGAGTGGGACACAAAAGGAGTTTGAGGCATGGTCTTCTTCCCACCCTGCGAGAGTTTACCACCCATCTGGGTACTAGGACAGACGCGCTGACAGGTGACATTCAGCAGCATGTGGTTCAGTGACAAGACAGTGTCACCCAGCAGGTAGAGGTTGGCAGGGACTTGGGTGATGCTGTGGAGCAGACTCCCCTTCTTCTCAAGTGTTTCAGGACTTCTGCGGGGAGGGCATGCATGTAGGATGACCCAGCTGCACTGGGGAAGACCTGTCAGGTTGAGTACTCATTAGATAATGCCAGAAAGAAAGATATTAGGGAGGAGAAGAGAGGTACATAAATTAATGCATGGAGTCAGTACAATGGAGTCATGTCAGGGAGCATTAAATTTTGTGCAGTTTCAGCTTTTGTGTGAAAGCAAGAACAAGCCGAGCGATTAAGGAGAATAACAGTGGAGAGAGTGATTTAAATGGAGCAGGCACCCACCACTCCAATCAGGAGCACTGCCCCCGAATGAGTGTGAGATGGGCCTGCACACTTAAAACATGGCTTCATCCTCCTCCTCATAAGTATGCTCCACCTTGCTGATGCCTGGAATATTCTTTCATGGTTGTACTTTGCACATTGCATTATAACTTGTTCATGTGGCCCCCTTACTTACGAGATACTTCTATTGATCACTAGAAGCTGGTGTCTTGTACGGCACATGGAAGCCCCTCTATAAGGTTTGTTGAGTGAATGAAAGGTGACAGGTTTTGGCATCATCAGACGTCTGTTGAACCCAGTGTGCATGATGCTGTTTTTGGCAGCGGGGCATCGGGACACTTGTAGGACATAGACCCTGCCCCTTGGAAGATGTTTGAGCAGAGAAGAGGGTCATAACCTCATCACACAGGATTCATGGAATCTGGGCGGGGTCAGAGGTGTGCAGAGGGAGGGGTTGCTTCTGACTCGGGGTAACAGCCCCGGCTCAGGGCAGGGAATGGTTGAAACTGAACTCTGAAGAAGGGTTCCAGATGTATGGAGCAGTGCGAGCCAAAGCAGGGAGGCGTGGGATGCTGTGGCTGTGGGAGCTTTAGGGGCAGACACAGTCAGGAGAAGGGGGGAAGTGGGAGTCAGGTCAGTCCAGAGGGGCTCATAGGGAAGAGGGTGCAGTAAATCTCGCTGCTTTCCCGTTGGTGTTGGTGTGTGTATATACAGTGTGAAAATCACCTTTAATGGCTACAGATACCAATTTTCCTCTCTTCCTCTTACATTGATAACCTGGTATACATAAAAATTTGTTGATCGTGTTAGGAAATCCTCTTAAGCCTAAAATACATTTTGTTTTCCAGTTTCTGAAAACTCATTTTCCATTAACTAGTATTCTATAAAATAGGATCCAAGTTGTAACTGGGTGACAATTTTTGCTTTAAGGAAACATTTTCTTTTAAAGAAAATGTTCTCCTAAGTCTGAAATTTTGCACAGACTTCTTAGAATTAAAAAAGTATACGTGTACGGGAGCAGAGTGGAAGATTGGAGAATGTCCTCATGATAAAACCTATTGGGCTTTATAGTAAAGGCTTCTCCTTAGTCTTTGGCCCATTTTCTCACTAGTTCAGCCTACTGGGCTTCTCTTAGAAAAGAGGGACAGACTCTGCCCAGGCCACAGAGACCTGCCAGTGGGGCAGTGAAAGACGGTTATTTGGGCCCTCCTGGGTGCTGGCTTGGCGGGGGGGGGCTGCAGGCAGAGTCCATGCACAGAGATTCTCAGCAGATATGGCCCGGCGTGGTGGGTGCTGGTGTGGGGCTCCTGGCACTTGGGGGGCATTGCTGTGGGACTGGGGAGCAAAAAGGGGGCCCTGCCTTGCTGTCTGCCCACAGGTTATGGGTCATTGTAGAAGTGACGAGGTGCAGAAGAGCAGAGACGGGCTGGTGCCCCCGGGCAAGGTCAAGGGAACTCTGCTAGCCTTTGTAGCAGCCTGGGGCAGGGACTGCTTATTGATCCTGACGGCCCTGTGATGGGGAGAAGTACAAGCAGAAACAGTCTGGAGGGAGTTGCTAGGGGACTTTCTTAACCCCCACGTTTTTGCTGGGAGCATTTGGAAGGCTTTTGGAAAGTGAGTTAACTGACTTGAACTGATGTAAGAATTAAAATATGCACCAGGCCTGGTGAGGCCTGATACTTCTACTCAGCCCGCCTAGAACACACCAGGCCCGGCTCCCCAGAGGGCAAGTTGGGTATGGAGAAGAAAACAACAACCCAATTTTGCATTAACTGGCACAGAGCAGAAGTTTCAGTGTCATCGTGACTGGGCCAGGAAGACTGGGATGGGGGCCAGAGAAAGGGAACTGATGCTCTGTTTTCCCAGCCCTCCCTTTTTCTCTCCCCTTGCCTCCTCTCATGCCTTGTGCGTAAGTGCTCAATAAAAATATGGTGAAGGAAATGCTGGAGCACATTAAGGACTCTCTGGAGTCCTCCCTTGGACTGTGGCTGGGGAGCAGGGTCATTGCGGGAATGGGAAGCATGGAAGAAGGGAAGCCAGGTCCAGATGCTAAGGTCAGGCCAAAGGTTGCAGTCTCCAGTTCCCACCCATTGTTTGGAATTCCCTAGCTGGAGGCAAGGGGTTCCGGGTACGGAGAGGGAGACTTCCCAGTCGCTGGGCTGCCTGTGTCATTTAAGAACACAAGTCATGTCCAGTCATAGATTCCTTCCTGACGTCTGTCCCCGATAATA